AAGTTGCTGTAATAGTTATTGGACCAAGTGCCCCAAAAGACTGGGCAAAGGTTTCTTCCAAACCTCTAACCCTGTAACAACCAGAAATGACTTACATGTAACTTGTCCCTAAAATATCCATACATTATCCGGGAAACAGGTAATGAGAATACTCAAAACTTAATTTAGGCAGAAATTGTTATCATGATCTCATGCAAAATTCTTGCAACTAATTATAAGGAAATGTGTGGGAGCAAGAGGAGAGAGTTAACAAACAGATCTTGGGAATTATAATTTAATTTTAATAATAAGTTCTTATATAGCGCATTAAAATTGAACTCTATGCGCTTTACAGTTACAATTAACAAAATTTCAATAAAAATCCTCTACATGTAATTTTCGCTACTCTATCTAAACTAATGAATTATTACGTGTTATACATATATTTGACAACGTATGATATCAAAAAAAATCTGGTGGCTTAATTTTTGAAAAGATAAGTTTTCAATAAGCGTTTAAAGGAGTCAACAGATTCGGCGTTTTTTATGCATTCAGGTAGTTGATTCCACAAACACGGTGCAGCGTAGGAGAATGCTCTTTGCCCATACGTTTTAGTTTGAATTGTTCGGACCTCAAGTAGATTCATGTTTGATGAACAGAGGTTTCGTGCTGGAATATATCGACTAAGAAGTTCAACAAGCAAGGTTGGAGTCATGTCATTTAGTGGTTTGTATGTTATCAACAGTATCTTGAATTGAATTCGTTTTGTGACCGGGAGCTAATGAAGTTTCATAAGTATAGGTGTTAAACTGTCTCTTGATTTAGCACCGACTAACAAGCGGGCAGCTGTGTTTTGGATCCGTTGGAATTTATTGATGTCACAAATCGGTAGACCGTACAATAGGCTATTACAGTAATCAAGTCTCGATGAGATGAAGGCGTGTATCAATCTTTCATTTTGCTGCGTCGAGAGGTAATTACGAACGCAACCAATATTTCTGATTGCTAGAGACGATGATTTACAGATGAAATTTATATGCGAGCGTAAGTTCATCACAGAATCAAGCATGATGCCTAGGTCTCAGACAGTATTAGATAAATTAATGATATCATCTCCAATATTGATATTACAGAAAGGAGGATTAAGGAGGATTAACGACCAAAATTCATCTTTGTTGGTTTTCTATCTGCTCATCGGACCTCATTACTCGAGTGAATATGCCTCCACAAACATAACAAAACACGGAACATTCATGAACGACTGAGGTCATGTGATGAAGTCATGTGACAAAAAGGGCGGGAAAACACAAAAACAGGGAACCCAGTAACACTACCCGTTCTCACCTTCACGCATCTAGTTAGCTCCTGTACTGCAAGGTCTGGTGCCTATAGACATAAAATTAATATTCAGAAAAATTAGACAGTCAAGTACCACCAACAATGAAAGTACATAAAGATAAATGAGAAATTTATGACACTGAGTTCTTTGCCATTGCCTCATAGTTTACACACAACAAGCATAAGACTAGTTCATGCAAGCTTACAACAACTTCCTTCCCCTTATGCTGTTCCTTTGCATTTTAAGCCCCTCCTAGTTTGCATTTGCTATATTTGAGAGGCAAGAAACTTACAAATAAATATAGAAAACAAGGCATGCACCCTCACCCCAGTTTCTATAACAAAATAAAAAAAGGACCCTTGTTCTTTTTTCCACAATTTCTTGCATACTCCTGCATTACCAGTCTTCTCAGTTTGTTTTGCAGCTTTCCAGCTAAAAGTTAGCAAATTTTTTTAGTACTTTTCCTTGCAAGGAAACTTCAAATTAAACACCTTACACTTCAATTAAATCTATAACAGCATTCTTCATAAGGGGTTATAGCTACTTGTACCTGCATCGGAAGAGTTCCTAGTCCCACAAATCTCTTGGGATATTTCTTCACAGTTTTTGCAAGGTCATCATTCATAATGCGGCAAAAATCCAGAGTATCTTCTGGTTTGGCCTTAAAGAAAAAGTCAAGGGTATTGTCAGTAAGAAAGTGTTCATGAATTCAATGCTAGGACAAATTTATAGACCTTCTGTCACACTTACCCAGTAACTGAACATGACTGGAACAGTTGAAAGGGCCTGTACTGTCACACCTATAAGAAACAAAATATATATCACATGCTCTGCAAGTAAAAATAAAATATGAGACTTGAATTTAATAGACTGGAAAAGAAGTGAAGGACACTTCCTCAAATTCCCATCCCAACTGTTTTTTTTTTTTTTTTTTTGCAGTTATGTTTACTGATGCCTGAGTGGCTTTCTCTATCAAAAAGAAAAGCATTAACCTGAGTTTCACAGGAGATTCTCTAATTCTGTACTTGAACTAAATACAGTACTGTAATTATAAAAAGTTTTTTTTCCTTTTTGTGACAATTGAATAATTTGACTTATACTTTAAACAAACCTGTTGCATCCATGTCTCTGATTCTTGCCTCTGGTGACCAGCAGTTCTCATCTATTACACGAAAAAGGTTCCCATCATTCATCATCTTTGCTTTGCCCTAAATAACAGTGATAATTTTAAAATTCAACATTTAAGCAGATGATTGCTTAACCCAAACTTCACTTCCAATAGGGTGGTCACTTCACCATGGAAGTAGGAAGAGAAGAGAAAAAAAGAGCATCCTCCCGACTTTTTCAGAAACGCATATACTGACAAGGATATCACTTCACTTAAGCTACTCTTACAAACCCTTTTTCTACCAAGTTCTTGAATATTAAAGGGAGAAGTTACATGTGAATCACTTCTGGGAATTAGGAGGCTCTAAGACATTTGGGTGGGATATGGCACACAAAAGAGAACCAAAGATACTTGACACAAATCTGGAGAGACCTTTCATCAAAACAAATAGAAAAGAAAATCCATTTTAACTTGGATTAATTGGTTAGAGTGAGGTCAGTAAATTTCTCCGAAACAGAAGGAGTCAAATAAGCCTATTATGGTCATCTAAACTGATTGTTTGAGGCTTCTGGCAGTTAATTCCTTCTTTTTGGATTCAAGCTTTCTTCTCCTAGCTTGCCTCCAAAACTGTCAGCTTTACACTAGATCGCTTTGCAGGGGCTAGCTAATCTTTCAAGATGTTGTGCGTCTTGCTGCCTTTTGAAGTCAGGCATGTGGCCACTACCTTCTTGTCGCCTTTGATTTTGTTCGTGATGACGTATTGTTCAAAACTTTCAGAGTAATTGTGTGCCAGTCTTCTGAACTGGGGTTGAAGAACTCATTTGTTCCAAAAGTGGCCATTCTCGTCGCAAGTTGTTGTGTATTAGGGTTCATTATACTACTATAGAGTAACAGGTGCACAGACCAAGTGCTCTACCAGGGTTCGACAGTAGCAGTAGCCCACTAGCCACAGACTAGTAGAAATTCAGTTTTGGCTAGTGGTTTTCAATTTCTACTAGCCAGTTTGGCTAATAAACAGACTAAAATTGTCATAAAATCTAAAAAACATCTAAGATGTCACTAGCCACTTGGCTAATAAGTTGAAAAATTAGTGTCGAGCCCTGTCTACACAACTGCTTTATTAGAATACTATGAACTTAACGATAACCATGATGATATATAATTATGTGGATAATCATGTGACTACAGTCAAGGGTGTGGTAACCAATAGAATAAAGATTATCTTATAGCTAAGGTATTTATCCAAATAGGAACAAACACTACTAACAATTATAGTGGTATGCAAAATGTGCAAATGGATAAATACTGAATGTTCCCTCCTATAAATCAGGCCTGCACTGCAAGCTGCTCTGCAAGCTGTACTGCAAGCTGTACTGCACTGCAACAAGAGACAATTTAACTTACCTCACAGTGATGATGAAGTTGTATCCACCCTCCATATCCATATCGCTGAAAGAACAAAAACTCAGCATATTATATAAAGTTTATCACATGCCTACAGCCACATTCCTTGAGTGCGCATTAGATTTGAGATGGTAAGTATCCAGTCTTTTCTCCAACAAGCACAAATGGAATAACTGTTTTTATTCATTAAATTTCATTAAATCCTTTGGACATTTGGATTGTTCAAGCTTTCTTTCAGTGCATCAACAGTTGGCACAATGCATTTTCATATGAGGTGACTCATGAATATGAACTGATGACTGGAGTTGATTGTATATACACGTACCAATCAAAACACTAGAAATACATCATTCCATGTTGAAAATTTAATAAAAACTTAGTATACCCATTTACATGTCCGACAACTCAGATATCACCACATTTTGTTAGGGATTAAATTACAACTTAGTTATATATCATTTTGTCACAAATTTCTGTGTACTTTTGAGCTCCATGATTTTGGATAAAAACCATCCTGGTCAAAATGTATCAAACTTGTAAAGTTTCATTTACAGAAATCGGGTTTGCATTTACCTTTAGTTTTAATTTTTTTTTTTTTTTGTTTGTTACCCACTTGTCAATTCTTGGCGGTGTGGCGTGGGCTGTGGTCGTTAAGTCTGATTTAGTGTTACACAAAAATGTTTAGTCCCGTTTCCAAAAATGTTAAGCCCCCTAAAATGTTTACTTTAAATCATTTGACATTTATTCGTGTTAGGCCCCTAACAACAGCATGGAAATTCAAAGTGCTGCTTGTGATGTTTATCAAATGTATTTCCCATGAAATTCGATGTTTCTTTCAAATAGGAACAATGACAAAACTATTTAGGTCTGTCATTTTTGAAAGTACTTACCTCCTTCAGATCTGGCCATCTTTCGGGTAATATATGATTGTGAATATCGATTTTGAAAGACATCACACAGTATACCCTAAAACATTTAGTTTAATAACGTCGTGCTCTGTCATGAAGAGAACACAAATCAGTCGCTCGTAAATCCTTAACTTCGCAAGGTATTTTGGGTAATGTGGAAAAGGAAAAAAGGGTTTTTCACAACTTCGTTTCCAGTTTCCCCTCTCACAATACTTCGTTATAACTCGACCCAGTCTTACAAACAACCACGCGGCTTAGGACATTCCGATCAATCCGACCAACCTTGGCATTTACTTTGTCCAGTTCAGGGTAATAAATCATTTGTATCAGTGACTGTAATGCCAATGCTGGGTCTGAGAGTGCTGCAGCCTTACTCTGTGAGGCACCAATCCTACCTGCACCTTAAAAAAGCTTGTGCCACTTTACTGTGCAATGGTGTCTTTTTCCACCTTATCAATTGGTTGGTTGGTTGGTGCTTTGACAAATTTTTGGCATCTCATTCTACGGCATTTCTAAGTTCTTCTTGTCCAATGCAGTCGGGACTTTTCGGCTGGCCAACACGTAAGATTCATTATACTAGGGCACCAAGCTCAGCAATACAGGCTTTGTTTTGCATTTGCTGAAGTCAATGATAAAACTTTTCCATTTCAGCTGGCTCTTTCGGTTTCTGAGCGAGGCTTTCAAAGGAGACTTCGAGTTCTCAGAAACCTGAATTCCCTAATTGAGATTCTCTATCGTTTCATCAAGGTCGGCTTTCATTTTCTCAGTGGATTTAAAGTTAAAGATAATTCTTTCTGAATCGACGTTTATCTACAAGTCAATTTTGTGTTTCCTTAGGTCCCTCTAAAATAAGTACCGTGTGAAAACTAAACCTAAAACCTCGCGCGGAGAAATAGTTACCTGTGGTAATTTCACGCAAGATGAGCGCGCGCGCATAGTTATAGAGTTCGAGCGATCCTGTAGACGAAGCAATCGTTGGAGGTAAATTTAGGACCACACTCTATCTATAGCTGCTAAACAGTGAGGTGGCTCATTTAAGTTTTTTTTTTTAATTATGGATTAGAGTGATTCAGCTTATAAAAATCAACAATATCTCTCATGGTGGGTCGCTTCTCTGGATCCATTTCAATGCAGGCATGTATGAGTTGTATTAGTCGAGGGCTGGACACACTCTGTAGCTGTAGCACTACATCAGATCTGTCGCGTTTTGGCCGCTCACCTGTGGCCATTTCTAGTACAACTAGTCCAAAACTGTAAACATCATCTGAAAGAAAAATAAAGATGCATTTTCAACAGAATTTATCCGCTGTCAAGTGACCGTAACTGAAGGGAACCTTTGAAGGAGGGAACTAGGTACTCTACGCTAATCAAGTAAACAGAGAGCTGTACAAAAGTGCTTACTTCCAACCTACTTAAGCCAGCTGGACTGGAGGTATCAGGGTATCTACAGAGTTTTACAAGTCGTCTTAAAAACTGCCAGATTTGTTTTAGAAACTTTGTTAATTTGGGGGGTCCTATGAAACCTAAAGACACCACTCTCTTTTAATAATACCCAATGGTAAAATCATACAAAAGACCATTGATTGACAAACTATGTGAAAAGAACAACAAGCAACAGCAAGAGGACGACTGAATACTAGCGACCTATAAATCAAATAAATGACTGAGATAAAAAATGTTCCTTGAAGAACAGGAGAGACACAGTCGAGGTACTGAAATCAATTCAACTCTTACATCGCACGCGTCATTGAACTACCGGCATTTTAAAAAACAAGTTTTTCGTAAATACCCACCTGTGGTGACTGCTGATTGGATGTCCTTGACTCAGGAGCAGCATAGATTGGAGTGCGTCTATTTGGAGTCATGAATTCCCTGCAATAATTTGCTATTCCAAAGTCAGCAATCTTTGCCTCCCAAAAGTTATCCTTCCTCTTCATAAGTATGTTGTCGGTCTTGATATCGCGATGTACTAAGGGAGGGATTTTCTCGTGAATGTAACTGAGACCACTGACAATGTCTCTAATCAGAAACCAGATGTGTGGTTCTGGTACTTTCCCCTGGTGTTCTGTAAGAACATGCAGACTACACTCCATCAACTCTGTTACCAGCTGGAGACAGTTGTCGTGATAAGTTGCACCAATGAGGCGTAGAACGTTAGGATGGTGGCAGTGGGATGCTATCATCATCTCACGTTTAAACAAAGGGTAGTCCTCTATTGCAGGGGAAGTGAGCTGTTTGACCGCCACCTTGGCCCCATAATATTCTCCCTCGAAAACTTCATCCCAACCTCCACTTCCCCAACACTTAACTCTGGTTGAATGATCCAGCTGTTCGTTCCTCTTAAACAACAAAGCAAACAATTGTTTTTCAGAGGACTCCATCAGCCTTTTTAGTACATTAGTGTTGTCCTCCTTTTGATTATTCTGCTGTTTAGATAATTGCAGTTCGCTTATTTTGATTTGCAGGAGCTCCATAAAAGGATGCAGTCGACGGAGTATTTCCTCTGACATTTCCTAATAAAACAGCGGGATTTCAGTGTGGACTGAAATTTTAACTGAATAAAAACCATAACCTATGATAATACTTTAAGAAACAGCCTCTCTAAGACGGATCCGGTTCATTGTGGTTCAAAAAGTCCATTTCTTTCGAACCTTGCCCATGGATCTGTCGTAATGTAAAAATAATTATAAAATAAGTTTTTTCGCAGCGAAAATCCCTTCAGCGCTGAAAGGACCGATTTCAACAGCACCGATTATCAAAAATAACGCGAATTGAATTTCTCGTCTTTTCACAAAACTCTTGTTTGAGGAATATTTTTACACCCACTTTGCCTTTGCTGCCATGACCGTATATATGCGACGGCTCCGCGCAAAATTCCAACTTCTTCCCCATGCCATTTCTTATTCAGACTAAAATAGGTCAGAGGAGTATGGAAATATAAAAATAACGGTTGGGGTTTCGGCGAACTTCTAGTACAGCCGCTCCACATAATATGCACATTTTCGAAAATTCTACTCAAGAATGCACAAAAAGCGAACTGTTAAAACACAAAATTGGCATCTAGCAAGAATTTTCATCAAGCGTGTTTTTAAACTTCTTTAAAAGTGTTAAAAATTGAATGGAAATAACATATATTAGCAAAAGCCATTCAGTTAAAAAAAAATAAGCAGTTGATAGTTTTCTATTTCAATGGCGGCCTTACTTTGCAAGTAGAGTAATTGAGTAATTGTTATCTTTTCCTTCTGAGAGAAAATAGTTCATCGTTCTTAAATTTTAATTTGACACCTTCAACACGTGCACCTCTTTCTGCAAGGTGACCTTTGGGGTAAACAATTTGTACTTTTCATCTTCTGCACTGAATTTTAAATAGACAACTTTTAGCTTTTCTGGGGGCGGTACTTGTGTACACCCTTTCTTCTCCGAATTTTCTGTTTATTCTGTTGTTAATTTCTCTTAAGATATCTTCCTAACTATGATTGTAACTCTGCCAATAAGTCAATTATAATTTTTCTATTGTCAATCTTGTTTTCGTTTTATCATAACTTAAATGGAACTGTAAGAAATTTAAGGCATAAAATGATTTTGTAACTGCGTAACCAACTCGAAGGCGCATACTTAACATGCAACAACTGTTGCACGTAACTTAACATGATTTGCTGGTTTAGATAGAAACAATCACGATGCATGAAGATTGACACCCTTTATAAGTGTTGCCTTTATAAGTTGGAGAACATGTGAATTTTTCAGATATTTCGTACTCCTTAAGATTTTATACCGATGACACTACAGGGTACTCTTCAAACCTCTGTCCTTGCAAATAAATCTACAAAACAACCTTGGTCTACTGACTTCCTGGTTTTGTGAGAACTTTCTGGTGATCAATCATAGTAAATCTCAATCCATTGTATTCAACTGAGCACCTTACCAACGCCCTTTATTATCAGACAGCAATGAACTGGATTACGTTACACATATCAAGCTCCTTAGAGTAATCATCGACAATTCACTCTCTTTCAACGTACACATTAAAGAAGTTTGCCGGAAAGTGAACACAAAAGTTTCAATTAGATATTTCCCGGTTAGCTCAATAGATAGAGCGCTGGAATGTTGTGCGGGAGGTCGAGGGTTCGAGCCCCGGGCGGACCAACACTCAAAGTCTTAAAAAAATTGAGAAGAATACGCTACCTTTCTACAACATCAAGAAATGGTTAGATATTCTAGTCTTCTCGGATAGGGACGAATAAATGAAGGTCCCGTCTCCTGCAGGGTTAGGGGTNGAACAAACAACACCTGATTTTTGCGCTGAATTTGTAAAAGTATAATTTTCGGTGGTCTCGGGAAAGGTATTATTTTATGTTGGAGAGCTTGTCAGAAGCAGCCGATGATTGCCAGCGTCCATGGTTCGGCCGGATATGTTTGTTTATCTAATTGACCGCAAGAACTCTGGGCAGCCATGGAGGACTTTCCGGGTAAGTAACTGTTGTTTCTTGTTGATCCTACAACATCCGTGCCTTATCCTTGCAAATTTCGTTGCTGACGTTTACTTCAGGAAAACCGTTGTCCGAAAATTTATAATTCTTTCCTTTTCATCCCTAGAATGTGCAGATAATTCTCGTAATGATCTCCTGCTGGAAAGTGAGTTACTAAAGCAAAGGCCATATGACTAGGTCCCGGTTCATTAATACTAGGGTCCGTATTCTGATTACCTACCCTCGCATTAGCCCTCCAGGGGGAGGGTCCGGGGGTCTGGACCCCCCCTAACAGACCTGACGCTTACAACTTTGAAATTGAAATTCTTACATCGACAGGATCGTATATCACTTTTTAACTGGTCGATCTTTTTAATGAATCCAAGTTTAAGCGGCCAAGATATTATAACGTGCAACCGCGACTGGTGGAAGGGGGTGTGGGGGGTATGGGGGAGAAGTAATTTGCCTCAAAAGAGTCCAACGGTCCTTTCTGCACCAAAGTTTGGACTCCCCCAATCAAAAATTACTGGATCCGCCCGTGGATACATACCTTAAATACATTCTGAGCTTTGGATCTATGTATTATAGTTCTCCTTCTTTATCAAATTTCGATTGTTACAGACGGATTTCTTAACGGCTTCGCGTATGGTCAGTGTAAAACGCAGACTGCGGACTGCAGACCGGGAACAAAATGCAGACTGAGGGTAAAATGCAGACTGCAGACTGCAGACCAGTAAAATGCAGACTGAGGGTAAAACATTAATAATATTAAATAATAAAATAATATTAATCATAAAAAACGAAATAAAGAGTGTTCGTACCCGTAAAATAACGTAACGTCAGGACTCACGAAACATACAAAGGCCCGGGGGGGACTCCCATATGAAACAGACGGGGATGCTCGTCGGAAATTTTGAATTTACCCCCTAAAGGGGACCATCTGGGAGTGGCTCAGGCTTTTTGTGACCCCTAAAGGAAACCAATCTTTGATTTATAATTACAGAGGTAATACGGTAAACAAAACGAGTTAAAAAGAAGATTTGACTTCTGTTTCTCTTCGCGTAATTCTGTGTTTCTTCGCGGAACCCTAAACGAGACCTTGGCGGCTTAAAATATTGGCGCTTTGTCTGGAACAACCTAAGTGAGACCAAAATCCAAAATTTACACCCGAGCATCCCCGTCTGTTTCATATGGGAGTCCCTCCGGGCACAAAGGCCGCTTCATGTCATAATTTTTCGTGTTTGGATAGCCCACTGTCACCTTTCAGCAATATCAATTCACAAACCTCTTGATACATTGAAGTCGAGTACAAAGATTGAATGTCTTTCACAAACTATGCTCGATACTTACAAGTTTACTTTGCCTTGTTGTTGTGCTGTCGTGTTTTGCCTGCCTTGTCTTCCAAGGCCATATATGCACATAAAGAATTTGAACGCTGAAAGAGTTACTCGGTCCCACATACTATTTAAAAAATCTCACGGTAATGCATACTTTGATACTAATAGTTACGTACTGGCCAGTTACATGTTATCGACCTTTTTCGTTTGGTCTTTGTTTAGCCATTACAGACCGCGTGATATTCTCTGGAGAAAAAAAAAAAAAGAATCCATTCGTATTCACGCAACTATCTGAAAATTTCTCAAGACTATGATCACAAAGGGGGAGCCGCAGTGGTGAAATAGCACTCGCCTCCCACCAATGTGCCCGGGTTCGCTTCCCGGACACACCGTCATTTAAAGGTAGAGTTTGTTGTTTGTTTTTCTCTAGGTTCTCCGGTTTTCCTCCCTCCACAAAAACCAGCACTTCTAAATTCAAATTCGATGTCGTACACGTACACTTTATAACGAGCTCTAAGCTCTTTCGTTGTACGTGGGTAAACAAATTACATTTACATTTTATTTTTTACATGATCTGTAATGGGAAAACAAAACAACACCGTCAAATTTGGTGTTCCGGAGTGTTTCGGCTGTTCCGGTGTTCCGATGTTCCTGGAAACAACAAGATGACCCCTCATAGAAAGGAGCAAGAAATATTTCAGGACAAAAGCTTTCTTCAAAACTGTTCTTGATTCGCTTTTATTAGCGAAAAATGTGCGCGTGCAAAGCGCACATTTGACACAAAAATATGAGATACTTTTCGGACTTCTTCTTGTTCACATATAATATTTACCGGGCCATAGAATCGTCAAATTGCCTTGGCCTCGCTTGAAGCCTAGTCCAAGTTTTGTACTCTCCCGCGATAAGATGAGTTTTCACAAGATGCGAAGCAATACTATAATGAACAATTATTCGTCGAATAAACCCCGAATAATCATCTCATCAGTCCAACAAGGGCGAGTGGAATAATTGTTTTATTAAAAAAAAAAGCCTCCAAGATATTAGACAAATCTTCTCGACTTTATTTTGTAAATAGAGACCGGATTTTACAGTGTACAGATATTAGATTATGTTATATTGGCTGATATACCATAATGGCTAAGCCAATAAAAAGTCTTGAATTATATTATCCAATGATCCAGTTTTTAATAAAATGTGGTATCACATCGCCACGCGTGAATACAAATTTATTACTACTTGGGATAAATTCGTATCCATATACGGAAATTTATCATTAGAACTGTTTCTAAGTAAATATTGATGAGATATTTAAATCGAAGAAGTTGGGAAATAGGCCAATGGGGGATGCCGCTGGATGCGGTCACATTTTCACGACTGAATCGAATAAAATACCGGAGAAGTTCCGCGATTAAAACTTTATCATCGTACTGCCAAAAATGATATGATGGTTGTGTAATAGACCAAGGGAAGGTGTTCGGAGAAGCCAGCGACACATACCAAGAACAAATTGACCGAAATTTTCTCCCAAGGCGCCGGTAATCTAAAACAATTTATGCCATCGTATGCAGTGCTTATCATTGTACCACTGAGTTGGCTACTCAGAGAGTGGGTTTGGATTTCATTTCATAGAGTGTGCCAAAACCAATGACAAGCATATAGATCTTAACATGTATACCTGGGCTTAGGGAAATTTACTTCTCTCAGAGCCATGCAAGGTAAAATTGTGCAAAGCCCTGAAAGAGCAGAGTGACATATACATTGTAGTCATACTTCAAGGACGCAGACGGTAGCAATCACAAATGATAACTTACCCATGGCAATTTACAACAGTTACTTCACTCAGCACAAAAGTGATCTAAAAGTCAAACAATAATAATAATAATAA